ATATTCAATAGAAGGTAAAGATTACCGCGCAGATTGTGATTATAATCACATAATGTGTTATTTTATTGAATTTTTAATTGTTTTCACACATATTATATAGAAATTTAAACGGCTATAACTGAAATAAGAATACCTAATTGTACTTTACGATCATTTGTAGTTAGTTTTTTTTTCTTTATACAATATACTGTTTTGATATGTTAATTTTGTTTTAATAGGTTGGAGTTATTCTTCATCCGTTGACATATGGTGACTATCCAGAAGAACTAATACAAAGAGTTTACCAAAACAGCGATCGTCTCAATATCTCAAATATTCGTCTTCCAGAGTTTTCACCCGCAGAAAAACAACTCATTACAAGTATATAATATACTTTATGATTATGTAGTATTAAGTTAGATTAATATTGATATGCATAATATGCTTGATAATACGATATATTTATAAATTGTATTCGAAAATAGTTTTAAAAGATAAAAAGAAAAATTTCGGTAAACCGGAGGTACTGGAGTTGCCGTAGTTCAACTGCAGAAGCATGTAGAAGTTCAGAAAGTAGGTTACATAGAGTTATTATATTTATGTTTATATTTGACGATAAACCGTTCCTAATGAAATACGATTCTGAACGAATTACGGTTTTACTTGTTTTAATCCGTACATTTTAGAATTTCTGTTTTAATTTGATTTCAAAAGACTTAAGGAAAAAATAATGAAAGCAAAGCTCACTTGTTGTAGTCTTTTGATTGGAACACATATCTTAGTAAAACCAATACATTACATCCTCTGCCGTCAAGATACTTACTGTAACATTATAAAACGTGTTTAGCTCAATTTTTCAAAAACTACTTTTGATTAGGTATCTAGTCACCTATTCTATATTAGGTGATTTTGCTCATTGGAACATGATAGGGCCTTGTAGGGCCGCATATTTTTCCAATGTGCTGGTGTACTTTATTTTATAATTTTCAATTTGGAAACGTTATGGTTTTCATAAACTAGAACAATACAAAGCTCCAAAGGCTTCGGGCTTCGTAAAGCAATCGGTTGATATGGGCCGGGATAAGCTTAAAAACTTTGGCCCATGTGGAGCTCTATACTCTGTCCAACTTAAGAGTATTCCAGTTTACGTATAATTTGGTAATTTGCTACTGCGGTCGTGTATTCATCGAGTTTTGATATCTATTATACCTATTGCCAAATAAAGAGTAATAAACACGCATACCAATACTGTTTCAGTGAAATTAAAAGGGAAGATAGAAAATCACAATACTTAAAACGTAAATTTTAGCGATTATTTAAATTGAAAGAGAACGTTTGTGCGAGAAAATACGTGTACGCGGTAGGGCCGTTAAAAGAAAATGTTATCGATATTTTGTTCTCTATGGATGTCTTATATCATGTGTATTGACCGTGGGGAGATAATTGTCGGGTGAGTGGGTGAAACAGTACCGGTAACCGAGAGTCGGAACACATGCGCTAAAATGAAAATGTTTTCGTCCGCCGCCGGCTATAGTCTTAGGTTTGACAGGGTATAATAATATACTAATAATATACTATATAAAGGGATATTCATGTTACTCCTTTTTTAATTTTGTATTTTTCACGTACAGATTCCTACGATTTCATTTCATTAAATCATTATATGTCATTTGAGGTGACTGATTTGCCTGAAAACGAAAGGGAAGGAAAAAGCGTCAGTGATCTTGACGCAAACATACAGAAAAATATTATAAAGAGCGATGATGAATTAAAAAATAGATCATGGATCAAGGTAAAAATAGACTAATAATTACGGTATATAAATGGATATTATTAATTTGGATAGATGATAAGATGATAGATAGATAGTGTTTTACGATACTACTTATAATTGATAAATCTTTGTGGTTAAGTTAGTACGCGACTCATGTTGGTTGTCAGTAATAATATTTTATAACAATATTTTTATCATAATTTGCAAGTTTTACGAGTTTTATAAGCTTGTAGGCAAATCGTTTTGCTATTTTGTACTTTAAGTTGCATCGGCTAATTCGTCGAGAACATGAAATATGACGGGTATATCTCTAACATAATACATTTTAAGTTTTTGAAATAATGTCCGGAATAGTTTTATTTATTTTTCAATTTCATTTAAAATTTCTTTTTTGTTTTTATAATGTTTCATTACATTTTCAGAGTGTACCGGAAGGAATGAGTTTGATTTTAAAATGGATCCATGAAACANCAGAACCGGGTGAAATTGATTTTTCCATGAAAAAATTAGACTACCATTATGTTAGTAAAAAATTACATTTTAATATGCTCGTTTTTATAATTTGAAATGTATAAATTAATGTTATTGATTATTTTTTAGGGCCATCTCAATCACACACTCATAGCAATAAATCAGTACAATGTTAATGTCATAGGATATTGCGCTTGGTCTCTTATGGATTCGTTGGAATGGTTAAACGGTTACAGGTACCTATGTGCTTACAAATTTCTATATAAATACTGCAGTAGGTTTTCGTCGGGTTCATGGGAATTTATGTTTGTATTTTGCATTGTTCCAAATAAACATTGTTAATTTGCATTAATTCGATAAGTACCACATACGTATAATTGTAAATTGTAGTGCTTTTATGCTGAAACGTCTGAATTTTCTTGGGGTTATACTTTATGGAGGTTATTTTAAAATTTTCTCAGGAGTTTGCTTATCAAATGTGAAAAATTGAAAAAGAATGTTAAAAAATGGTAAATGAAAAAAATTTATTATATTTATAAAATATTACCATTTTTTTTTTGTGGACAACTTTTCTACTTTTAATTTTACTCTGATTTAAAATGACTGCACATTTTCTAAAAGTAAATTTGACCAGGGAGGTACCTAAAAGAGGTCATTTTTCGATTTGCACAGGAGTTTTACCAGAAAATGAGAAAAACCGGGGAAAAACATGGGAATACCAGAAAAAACGGGAAAATCGGTACAATGTTAAATAATTACTAAAGAAAAAATATATATTGCCTTTAATACTTTTACCATAATATGACAAATATTGTTGGCAAAGCATCACTGTCAACTGAACTCCCCTCAGAATCGTTTTTTCGTTAGCAATGTTTTATCGTTAATCACAGATATACATTAAATTTCCTTCAGTATCCTACCTTCCTAAATTCTCATCATTAACAGTAGCTGGACCAACCGTGCGAAGTAATTCCAGCATTTTAATAATTAATTGTTTTTATTTTTTTTAGTTTAAGATATGGAATTTACCATGTGGATTTTAACGACGACAATAGGCCGCGGACACAGAAGAAATCGACTTTGTGGTTCAGAGAGGTGTACACAAATCGCACACTGGTTCCACCTTTTCTATCGAATAGCAGCGGTGAAAAGTGTTAATTTTAATAAGTACTCACCTAACTATCTATATTAAAATACTAATGTTATTATATTATAATATAACAGATTCAGATACTTTAAAACTTTTATTATGTTTTTGTCTATTTCATGATCAAACTGATATTTATGTTGTAAAAATGTATGCCCTAAAATGTCTGTATAATTTCAATAATATTGTCAAATTCAAATAAACAGAGTAAAGTATTAAAACCTACTTTAAATATAAGATAGACGAATATGGCAATAGTTAAAAACCAATTTAATTATAAATCTATTAAATACCTGTAGAGTAGGTCCCTATATATTGAGGTAATAAAATGAAGAAAAATAATGATTATAGTGTTATCAATTTATCATAATTTAATAATAGAAATAAATCACTGAAGGCGGTAAATAAGACCTAGAATAAAAAATTACCAATTAACTTAGGCAGGTATTTGTTATTTTATGACACTTTTTACTTATTATTCGTTTTATAATTTGTGTCAATGAACAATTTTAGTTATTAATTTGTCTACAGTGATTTTTTTTATTCTGCCTCAACTCCATGAGTATTAATAACTACAAAAAAAAACATGTTTACAGACAATAATGAATGCAGGGAACATAATATAATTGAGGTGAAAATTAAATAATATTAATGGAATAAATAATAATTACGTTTTTTTTTCATTTCAATTCGATGTTACATGTTATAAATTATTTGATTTTTTTGACCTATAAGAGTGATCAGAAATATATTTACATTTTTAGCGCCCTGGTGCATTGTTTTTTTAAGGCACATTCATTCAAGAACACATTTTTGTGTTTTTACAATACACTAATATATTGAACTGCATATTTAACGTTTTGTACTACATTCTTTAGGCTCCAAAACACATGATTTATGTCCTGCTGAGTGAGTGTAAACTGTGTAATGGGTTCGGTAATAATAATAAAAAAAAAACTTCCTTTTTACCACGTTTTAAACGAGTATGACTTCCTTTTGAAATATGTTTGCCATGGTCAATGCCTCCTAGATTTCGGTTAAATAAGTTTCCGAGTCAAAAGAAGTGGTTTTACGGGGGATCAGAGGTCCAGGCTTCTGAGCCCCTACACCCTGAGTTTAGACTACGAAAATTAGATTTTTGTGTTGGAATTTTTTAATTATATCTAAACTATGTTTTTGATTACAACAGGTACATACATGTAGATAAATAAAAAGTATACTAATATACTATTAATTAATTAATGTAAATAATCTTTGTATGTTAATATATATTGCAAATTATATTAAAAGACCGTCGATAAATAAGTTCGAAAATCACCACTGCCTGAGCGTGAAAATAATTATAGGCTAATCTTGTCTATGCCGAGTAGGTAATTTAACATAAAATGTTTACACATAACCTGTAAAAGTCCTCTAAAAATAATATTATTATACAAATGCATATCGTAGTCACGGATTACACTTCAAACTTTGATAATAATCTATTCATGTAGTAGTATAAACCTGTTAAATTACCCTTGATTAGTTATTTATTTATTGTATAATGCACATACTCTACGTATAAATAAAATTTTGGATGGTATAATAATAAAGTTAAAGTTTTTTTTTTCATTATTCAGATGTTCGGTTCAATAAATAGATCTGGTAAAACGTCGTTAATTTAGTCCGAGTACTTAATCAATGACGAATAATATTGTAGGTAAAGAATATAAAACGGTCCTGACGTTTATAATAATCGAGAATTTGATAATGTATGAGATAATTATTTTTGAATGTTTTGTTCGGTGTTTGAAAAAATACCTAATAAGGGGCAATCATAAACTACTTACCTTAAAAGTGAAATAGTAAATTCCTCTAAAACGGTTTTGCAACTACAACACACACATTTTTGTAAATAATCTTTGTATGATATTTTCACAAAAATACTTTGTTGTAATTTTAGGTTCTGAGTGGAATGTATTGGCTTTACAATGAGATTATATATTTTCGATTCTGAGTAGAGCGAAGAAGCTTATAGTTTTACAAAGATGTTTATATTTTTTTTGTATTTGTGCGTAACTATTCTATCAGAAGATTTGCTCAGAATTTTGAGTGTAGCTCCTTTTCTAAAAGTAAATCAGTGTGGGGAAGTACTTTGAGGAGCTTTTTAAATTTTTCGATTCTCTCAAGAGTTTCTCAACAAATGCGAAAAACCGAAGAAAAAAACAGGAATATGTACGAAATATATTATGTACTAAAATATTATATTTGCCAGCAATTTTGCTTCAACTTATAATGGTACCAATGTTTCTAAAAAGAAATTTCACCCTAGGGCGGTACTTTCGAGAGGTAGTTTTTCGATTTTCTCAAGAGTTTCCTCATCAAATACAATAAACTAAAAATAAACTGAGGAAAATCGGGAAAATATAAAAAATGTTAGTATTAGTTAAACCATATTACGGTCTTCTTTCTGTAAACAATTGGAAAAAAAAGTCGAAATTTTTTTAATGCCATTAGGACAACTTATTTATTTGATACCTCCTATCAAATTTCGGTGTATTTTAATGAAACCAATAAACCAAAAATGTTTATCCCTAAAACACCAATTAAAAATTATTCAACTAGATTATTTTAAATAGTAATAAAAAATAATGGTTCACGCTGAAGAATTAGGCCAAAGATTATATTTAGGAAAGTTATTTAAAAATTATCGATTTAATTAAGTTAATTTAAACAAGGTTTATTGGCACAATAATCAACAAAAGTCGACTAGTTTCGTAATGGTTATAGTGTATTATTATTTACAAAAAGATTAAAACTGTGGATAGATAAATGTTTGCTATAAATATAATCGTGTCCGAAGTAGCTGGGGCAGTAGGTAATCAAATTACATTACTAATCAAACGATTTTTCAAGAGATCGTTCGACTATGAGCGCTCTGAAATTTAGTAAGTTTGAATTTTTTTAATTTACAACGTTATTAGTACATGCAATATATATTTGATTTTTTTTTTTTAGTAGTCATCTTGGCATTCGCCAATTTCGTCTACTGTGACAATAAACTAGTATTTCCAGAAAACTTTTTGTTCGGTGCCGGCAGTAGCGCATACCAAGTGGAAGGAGGATGGAATGCTTCTGGTAGGTCATTTTAATAATTAATATTCAATAAAAAAAGAATGCGGTTTTTTTTTTAAAGACATTATTTGTTTTAAAACAATTTTACTTTATACGTATAAACATATACTAGGATGATTCTTATTAGCGTGATGGTAGAAATTTATTTTGGACGCCCCCTAACTTTGTTCTAAAAAACGAAATAAAAATTTTCGAGAAGAAATTGCTTTATGATTTGGGGAAAAAAAAACTTTTTCAAGAAATATATGCCACTTTCTTTTTGTTAATTATACATATAGCGACATATAATTCTTGAAAAACTTTTTTTTTAGTAATTTCTTCTCGATAATGTCCATGCAAGAAAAAAATTTTACCATCAATTTTTGATGCCTTATGTAAATAAAATTCAGAATAAACTAAAAAAATGAATGTATTTCAAATGGAAAACTTTACCTTGTTACAGAAAGATGAAAGAATTGTCCTAAAAAGCTCAAATAGGACTCAACATTTTTATTTTTATTTTTAGAACAAAATTAGGGAGCGGCTAAAGTTGAATTACACCATCACTTAAATAAGAACCATCCTAATATATACATACAGTTATGATAAATAATAATTAAATTCTGCTACCTACGAGTCTACGATTTTTTGCCAAAACACAGGCTTTACAGGAAAAACAAATTCGCTGAAATTCATCGATTTTTACTTTAAGTATATATTTAAATATAATTTAAATTTACATAACCTACGAATCTACGATTATAAAACTAAAATAGAAAAATAATGAAATGATTTAAAAAAATAGTAGGTACATACTCTATATTATTATCGATAGTTATGATAATATTTACCAAGAATTATTTTTGGAATCGGCAGAGTGTAGCAAAGAAGCTATAGTTTTACACTTTTATTAAGATGTGTTTTATTGGTTCTTAGAAAATTTTTTTTTGTTTGCAAAAGTGCTCAGAATTTTTCTTTAAAAGATACGTAATATTTTCTAAATGGTAAAATATTTGAGACATTTTTCAAGATTCCTAATTTTTGATCTAAACATGTATATATATATATTTTAATGTTTTTTGGGGAAGTATATAATGTAACTACTTTACTCAGTTTCACTACACGATCTAAAAAATATTTCCAAGATAAAAAACACACTAATCTCGAAAATAACATACACTGTGAGGAAATGCGCGAGACTTATTATTTTTTGCTAAAACACATGCTTTACAGGAAAAACTTTTATAACTCGTGAAACTTAAAGTGAACCGATTTTCGATCATATTTTTTTTTATTGTAAGACTTCTTACAGGGTTCGTTAAATTTGGATTTTAAAAATTATATTCCTAAACGCTGTAATGTAGAGAAGACCAATAATTATGACCGATATTTTTAAAATTAATTTATTTGTGTTTTCGGTTATATATATTAATGTATAGCCAAAAATTAAATTCAAATTTTGTGCAGGAAATTTTTCTCTTTCCAAAAAAAAGTTAAAAATAAATACACCTTAAATCGTATCACTCATCTCGTCTCTCCGAGATATGATCGTTTTTGAACGTTATGAACTATAGGATTAGATAAATTATCAACGAACATTAGCGGCAATGTAAGTAAAACAAATTATTATTTTACAAGAGTAGAGAAAATATAGTTAGTTATAACTAATACTATTGTATCAAAAAAAAAAAAAAAAAATTAGAGTTATAATAATATCATTTAGTTAATTACGTTTATTTTATTAATGTTTTTAAACAAATTATTTCCAGCACTGTTTCGTTGAACTAAAATAACTATACGCCTAGGTATGATAAGTACAACTAGTTTTTAACTAAAATTCATCATAACATATTGCGTGTTAATATTCACAATGATTGGTTCCATTTTTCGTGTAAAGTTAGTTAAAGAATGAATTAATAGTAATTTTTGGCGATTATTGCTTTTTCGGGTTGATCGAGTTTTTACATAATTTCATTAATGAATTGTTGAATTATGCATACTGATTTATAATTAAAAATTATAAAAAAAATATCAGGTTGTTGTGTTAAGAACTGCAGTAGTTGATTATGATTTTAATGCATTAGTTTTTTTTTTCATAAGCGTTTTTCGTTCAACATATTTTGTCTTACAGAACTTCGTTCCAAATCGTTGTTCTTTGGCAATGGTTTATTGTTGCATAAAGGTATAAATTAAATAACTTTATGTATCCTACCTTCTTAACTTCCCACCTACAACAGTGGCTGCACCCGTCCTCAGTATCGGTTCGTTTTATTTTATAGATCTATTTGGTATTTTCAACATAGGTAAACTGTGTACAGACACACATAATAAATATTCCAATTCCTCCTTGATTCCATCCCTAGCATGAAATAGCGATTAGCGAATATTCATAAAGTGCATCAACTTTACATGGACATTCATTTAATAGTAAAATTAAAAATTAAATACATTACATACTACGAAAACTGTTGAGTTTGAAAACGGTTCTATACGATAATTTAAGAATAATGTTCGTAGTACAACACTAATGGACGGTCCATATCAAACGGCCAGTCAGACGGCCTTAGCAAGTTGGCCGTTCTCCTCTTATTTCGGCTGTCCATTGGTAACTGAAACACTAAAACGAGTCCGCGTTTCTAATATTCGAGCATACTCGATATTTTAAAAACATTCATCAGATCAATATAATATAATTATTTATAAGTAGGGCTGTAAATTTAATGCACTAATGAACCTTAAAAAATGCAATAAAATATGCACTTAAAATGCAAATAATGCATTAAAATGCCAAAAATTGTAGTATAAAATGCACTTAAAATGGTTTTTCATTAAATTTGTATAACTATATTGATATAAGTATACTATATGCATACAAATGTATTTATTTTTATTTAATAAAAAAGATTAAATAATAATGATTGAATTAGAATTTTGATTTTTAAGTTGATTGATTTATTTAAGATTCTAGAATTCTAGTCACCCGAAACGCTTTTTAAAAATTCTTTTTTTGTCTTTATTTTGTTAAAATAATTGATTTCAAATATGTTAATTAACGTAATTTGAACTAAAAAAGGAAAATATGACGTAGAAAGACAAAAAATGACCTAAAAAATTTAAAACATCTAAAAATGCAAAATAAAAGTTTCATAAATGGATTTGTTGTTACATAATTCATATTATGTACTTAAAAAGCTACGTTTCTCAATCAACAGAAAAAAAAAGATTCCTACAAACTCACAGCCCTACTTATAAGGAAATTACAATTTTTGTTATCTGATCGAAAATACAGAAAACCAATTGTGAAAAATTATGGTATTCTATGACATGTTCAGTATGATGAGTATGCGTTGTTTACAATTTTATCTTTAATAATTTATATTGTAACCACTTATCAATCATCATACTCGCTGAAATACGTTAATAGAAATTCGCTACAGCATATTATGAGGAACTCGCTGAAATACACTGTTTTAAATATGCGGGAAAAAAGGTAATACACCCGAACGTATGATGCCCGAACATTATTTATTATATTTTGTTATTATAAAATACTTCAAAAGCATAATCGAGAACTATGAAGTCCATCTCGTAATATGTGATTAAGAAAATTATTATACTTCCTAACCAAATTAATACAAGGTGTCCCATGAAGATATATCAACTGTAATATCTCTGGAGATAATAAAGATAATTAAAGTCATAATTTTACATTATTCACTGGGATAAAAAAAAGAAATATTTATATTGTGATTAATTTTTATGTTTTAGTAAAAAGTTTAAAAAATTATTTTTTATATTATTATTTCTAAAAATGTTGGCGTAACTTTTTATTTTCATTAAATTCGTAGTTTTTTAAAAAAAACTCTTTTAAAAATGATTGGGGGAAAATAAAATAACTAATTAATCCTATCCCTTTCCTTACCACAATTATGAAACAATTTGTTGTTATTTTTTATGTATGGTAATATAGGAAAGACCGAAAGTATTTGGGACGATTTGACCCACTACAGGAAACATTTGATGATTTTGAATAGATTCCACCCACCGGACCAACCGGACAACAACTGCACCGATAGCAATGTGACGGTAGCAGCGGCCCCGACTCAAGGTGTAAATTCGTTTTTTTCTTATAATGCATCAGCCATACCGAATAACTCAAATTCCAAGAAAAAGCTCATCCAGGATATTACGAAAAAGTGGTTTAGCATGAACTTCACTCAAGCGTTACAGCTCCAGTCACCTGTCCCTGTAAACCACACACTAGAGACACCCACATCTGAGGAGGAAACCGACGATGAACTGCTAAAAGTCAAACCAAAATTGATCAAGTTCTATAAGGGAGTGCCCATTTACGAAACGTTGCCGGACAAATTGTTCCGCCGAATTCTCAAATTGCCGAAAATCAATGAAATGTCCAACGAAGTGTTGTACAGTTTGTACACTGCGGGCGGCGACCTCTCTGACCTGGACACAGACACCGGTGACGTGGCTTGCGATTCGTATAACAAAATCGACGAAGACGTCAAATTGCTCAAAGACCTCGGGGTATGCATTGCATTACATTATGTTTCATATTAAAACGTTGAGTTGACCTAATCGCGGAATTCATTTTTAAATTTCAATTAAAAAAAAAAAAAAACATCTAAGTGCAATTCTTTAAAAAGATATTAAACTAATATTATGTTTTATGATAAAGTATAATAAGTAAATCATAATATATTTTTAACGACGTGAACTACAGATAAAAAACAGAAATCGTGTTTAACTTAAACCATAAACGCATTCCGTTAGTCGTTACGGTTCAATTATGCTATTATTATTAGGTACTTATATCTTGTCTATAAAACCCACTTATTTTCTATATTTATTAAAAATCTATCGTGAACCTATACACATATACCTATGCCGTAATATCATGCGTTCAACAAACTTATTACCTCGGGCCTACAAATATATATGGGACTTAAGTATAGTTTACTAGTAATGATCGATAGAGTTTTTATTTTTTTTTTTCGAAAAATCATTAAACTGTTTAAAATTTAGAAACAACCTTCCTTATAGTATTTTTTACATAAAAAATTATAATAAAGTTGTAATATATTATTGAAAAGGTCGTAATATATTTTAACTAATAAACTAATACCGATAATTTATTTTCCGGTTTTCTTTTTCGGTTATTCAAATTTGGTGAGGAAAATCCTGAGAAAAATGAAAAATAGCCTCTTTAAAAAAGCCTTCCATGCCGATTTAAATTCAGAAAAGATGCTACACGTAGAAATCTGAATAAGGTTTCTGGTGGAAAAGTTGTACACAGATAAAAAAAAAAAAAATTAAAATCTTTGTAAAAATATAAGTTTATTCACTCCATTCAGAATTTATGTATA